GTGGAGACGAACACCGCAGTGTGGGCTTGGTGGGGACCTGTCCTCTCCTTGCTTGCGGGCTGTGCGGGGAGGTGGGGGAGTAAAACTGAGCCAAGCCCAGTGCTGACCCTGCTCTCCTCCACAGTACATGGGCTGCGTAGAAGTCCTTCAGTCCATGAGGGCTTTGGATTTCAACACCAGGACTCAGGTCACCAGGTGAGCCCCAGGGCTGTGCTGGAGGCTTGGGGCTGCTGGGCTGGGTGCGGAGGTGGAAGCAGGCTGTGTGCAGCCATGGAGGAAGCTGCCTGCAGATCGATGAGCCTGTCAATGAGCTTGGTCAGGCAGGAAGCACTCCTGCAGCTGCATCAAATATTAACAGCTTCTTCTTCCCCTGTCCCTGCTGGGTCTGGGAGTCAGCCTGCACTGCCTGAGGGCTTCCCTTTTGTTTCTTGCTTAACCCTGTCCCTTCTGCATTGGTCCCCGTGTCTTCTGCCCAGCAGCGCCCCATAATCGTGGCACTGATAGCAGAGCTTTGTCCCTGTGCTGGTGCAAGAGGGGGACAACGGGGGGACCCCCAGGTTGACACCTTGCTTTGCTCCCTGCAGGGAGGCCATTGGCCTGGTGTGCGAGGCCGTGCCCGGTGCCAAGGGAGCAGTGAGGAGGAGGAAGGTGAGGCTGGGCCTGGGGAGCTGCTGGTGGGAGCGTTTTGAGAGCTGAATCTCAACTCAACCAGCAGTGCTCAGGGGCTCTGATTGCCCCCGTGGCTCAGCTGAAGTGGTGGTGGAGACGAGTTGCTCAACGCTGCTGTTTTCCCCCAGCCCTGCGGCCGCTCTCTGAACTCCATCCTGGGCAAAAGCAACCTGAAGTTCGCCGGCATGCCCATCACCCTGACCATCTCCACCAGCAGCCTCAACCTCATGGCCTCTGACTGCAAGCAGGTGAGAGCGGGGAGCTGCTGGGGGCTGCATTGCTGACTTGAAACGAGCAGGGATCTGCGCATCCCCTCCAGGCCCTGCTGGGGTTGTTCCCATTCTCTCGGCCTGTGTTTCCTGCTGAGCGCTCCTCTCCCGGTCCAGAATGTCCCACCCCACCCATTCCTGGTGGCAAAGGGATCTGAGCAATAACCCTGAATGCCTTTTGGGATCTGTCCCTTGAGACCTCGAGAATTCCCTGGCCTTGGAGGTCTCTTAGTTTTGAGCCAGGTCTCAGTAGCTCTTCTGGTGTCTCAGCCCTTCTTCTGGTTGCCTGTGGCTCGTAGCCAGGGCTCCTGGAGCTTGTAATCCCCACACTGGGCCAGTCCCAGGGAAAGTGTGCCAGGCTGGGCACTGAGGAGCTGCACCTAACAGTGCTTCTGTCTTGCAGATCATTGCCAACCATCACATGCAGTCCATCTCCTTCGCTTCTGGGGGCGACCCGGTGAGTACAGAGGTTCCCCATCTGCACATCCTACGCTGTGCTGGGGATCAGAGCCTCTCCTGCCTTCTCCCCACAGTCTCAGGCTCTGTACTCGCCAGCAGCCCTGGCTCACCACCACCCTTTCCCACAGGACACAGCTGAATACGTTGCCTACGTTGCCAAAGACCCCGTCAACCAGAGAGGTGAGGCTGGAATTGCAAGAGCTCCATTCTGGGGAAGATTTGGTGCAGCACAGTGGGATTTGGGCCCCTGCAGGGAATCTCTGGGGTGCACAGGGTGGGATCAAGGGGTGCAGGATTTGACTCTGAGCTTCCCTGCTCTCATCTTGCCGTTCCCTTCCCAGCCTGCCATATCCTGGAGTGCCCTGAGGGCTTGGCCCAGGATGTCATCAGCACAATTGGGCAAGCCTTCGAGCTGCGCTTCAAGCAGTACCTGAAGAACCCCCCAAAGCTGGTGACACCCCACGACAGGTAAGGGAAGGGAGAGACGGGGGGTGCCCGAGGTCTCTTGGTGCTGGGAAGGGACGCAGCCCTGGCTGCTGTCAGCTGTTCAGCTGTGCTGCGCCCCCCCCAGGATGGCAGGGTTTGATGGCTCAGCCTGGGATGAGGAAGAGGAGGAGCCTGCCCCAGATCACCAGTACTACAACGACTTCCCCGGCAAGGAGCCTCCTATCGGTGGGGTCGTGGACATGCGGCTGCGGGATGGGGCTGCGCAGACCCCCAATCACCTGGGGGCCACGCTGGTAAGACGCTGAGCACGTCTCTGCAGGGAGCTGCTGGGGAGGTTCTGCTATACAGGGGAGACGCAAGGACCCCGACGGGGCTGTGGGCTGCACAGAATCCACGCCACGCTTCTGTCCAGCACCTCTGGCAGCTCAGCCTGGGGATTTGGGGAAGGCTGAGAGTGCAGCAAGATCCATTGGGCTGATGGTGTGCCTCTCTGCAGCCTGTTGGCCAGACGTCTGGTGGGGAATTTGACCCCCGGAAGCAGCACGGTCCCGCTCAAGGTAACGTGATGGATGTGGCTGTTCCCATGTGCTTTCCTGGTCCCAAAGTGCTCCAGCAGCAAGCTCTGGTACCGGAGCACTGCTGACCACGGCTCTCTTTGCAGCAGGAAGAGAGAAATACCCGCCTGCAGCATCCGGCCGCACGGATCTGTTTGATGACCCATCTTATGTGAACGTGCAGAACGTGGACAAGACACGCCAAGCAGCAGCTGCAGGCAGCCCTGCAACAGCCAACGGCAGTGCGCAGCGAGATCTCTTCGACATGAGTGAGTGGGACAGCAGCTGTGGTCGTTCCCAGGCTGTGCAGTCCGTTCCCAGGCTGTGCAGTCCGTCCTGGATGCGTGGGGCTGAGTGATGGACCCCCTTCCTCTCTCTTCTCCTGCAGAGCCATTCGAAGATGCCCTGCGTGCCCCCCAGTCTGCGCCCGTGAGCGTTCCGCCTGCCCAGGTTGTGGCTTCCATGGAGGAGCAGCTGAGGAGGGAGCCTTGGTACCACAGGAAGATGAACCGCAAGGAGGCTGAGAAACTGCTGAAGGTGAACGGAGATTTCCTGGTGAGGGAGAGCACCACCACCCCCGGGCAGTACGTGCTGACCGGCCTGCAGGGTGGGCAGCCCAAGCATCTGCTGCTCGTTGACCCCGAAGGAGTGGTGAGTCCCCATAACCCCAAAGCCTGGGGGTCACACATCTCCCCACAGCTACCCCACCTTGGGGACACCTCTGGGCTGGTTTAGGGGATGGAGGAGGCCTGGCAGAGCATGGAGGGAACTGCCGGGGATATCAGCAGCCTTCTGAGTTCCCTATCATTCCAGGTCCGGACAAAAGATCACCGTTTTGAGAGCGTCAGTCACCTCATCAGCTACCATATGGACAATCACCTGCCCATCATCTCAGCTGGCAGCGAGATGTGCCTGCAGCAGCCGGTGGAGAGGAGACTGTGAGCTCCTGGGGGCCTCGGTGCGCTCCCCCCCAGCCCTGCTTCCCACCCTGGGGAGCACTTGGACTCAGCCGGGGCTGAGCGTGGACTGCCTTGGGGATGGGCCTCACCCTCCCCCCACCACACGAAGCTGGCGGCCCTGGGCTTCGGGCAGCATGGTGTGAGCTGCCTGCGGGGCCGGGGGCTGGTGGTGCCAAAGCCCCCTCCTCTCCTCCCAGCTCCAGCCTTCGCACAGCTGCTCCGCTTGTACCAAATCCCGCCCCCGTACGGTGTCACCGCTGGGGCACGAGCCCGGGGCCGGGCCCTGCTCCAGCCTGCTTGGAACTGGGGGTGGCCGGGCTTCGTCCGGTGAGCAGCACCAGCCCCGGGGGTGGGGGTGGGGGGTTGGGGGCTCACCCAGGGCTGGGCCCTGCGCTCTGCTCCCCAAGCACAAGGCCCGGCCGGCCGCGCACCGAATGTACCCGATCACTTTATGTGTAACTGTGCCTTGACCCCGCAGGTCCCACACATATATGCAATGCAGCCGGGCAGGGGGCGAGGGCTGACAGCTCCCGCGTGCCCTCCGGGTCCCGCCAAGCCCCTTCTCGGGCACCTCTCTTTCTGCCGGAGCTGGCCGGGCCCCACTGCATGCACCTCGACCCCCCGAAGCCAAAGCGCAGCCCTGCCCCGGCCCCGCTATAACCAAAGGATCCGGCGGTTCGTATTAAAGTTGGTATTTCTTTACGCTGCGGCTGCTGTGTTGGGGCTGAGGCTGGGTGGCGGCCGTGCACCCCTTCGGGCTTCGCACGTGGTTCCTTCCGCCCCTCTCCGAGCCGCCATCATCGCTCCTTCCATCCCCTGGCGCCCCTTCCTGCGCTTCCTTCCTTCCTTCCTTTTCCCCCCCGCTCCTGCGGGTGCTGCCCGTGGTTCCTCCCACGCCCCGCCTCTCGCGCAGCGATTGGTCTCGGAGCAACTTCCTGTCTCGGAGACACTTCCGGTCCCGGCGCAACTTCCGCTTCCGGCGCGCCGTGCGAAGGAGCCGCGGCGGGGCCATGGCGCCGCGCCGGCTGTGAGGGCCATGGCGGCCCCGCACGGAGAGAAGCTGGAGGGAGGCGTCCCGGCCCCGCCGCCCCCGCCGGGGCCCCCGCACCCCGCGGGCAGCGCCGCCGTCGGTGGGCCCGGCCGGAAGCAGGGGAAGGCAGGTGAGCGCGGGCGGCGGGAGCGGGCGGGCCGGGCCGGCGGAGGCCCCGGACCTGACTCGGCCCCGCATCTCCCCGCAGGTCTGCAGATGAAAAGCCCCGAGAAGAAGCGGCGGAAATCCAACACGCAGGTACGGGCGGGCGAGAGGACCGCCGGCTCCGGGCCGCCCCCGCCGCGGGCGGTACCGGGAGCGCGGCCCTGACCGGCGCCGTTTCCCCGCAGGGCCCGGCATACTCCCACCTGTCGGAGTTCGCCCCGCCGCCCACCCCTATGGTGGATCATTTGGTGGCCTCCAACCCCTTCGAGGATGACTTCGGGGCCCCCAAGGTGGGGGCTGCGGCCGCTCCTTTCCTGGGCAGCCCCGTACCGTTCGGCGGCTTCCGAATGCAGGGCGGGGGAATGGCGCCTCAGGTCCCCCCCGGGTACGGAGGGGGCCCGCAGCCCATGCGGCGGCAGCCGCCCCCCTTCGCCCCCGGGCAGATGGGTCCGGCTTTCGGCATGCCCCCCCAGAACCCCGGCTACGTCCAGCCCGGGGGGATGAGCTTCCCCGGGCAGCCTTTCAACCAGCCCCCCCTCGGACAGAACTTCAGCCCTCCCACGGGGCAGCTCATGCAGGGGCCCGTCGGGGGCTTCGGGCCCATGATGTCCCCCACCATGGGGCAGCCTCCCAGGGGGGACATGGGCCCCGGCCCGGCCCTGAACCCCCCCGGCGGGCCAGCCATGGCGCAGCGCTTCAGCCAGCCCAGCAACCTCTTTGGACAGTCCCCCATGCAGCGCCCCGGGCAGAACATCCCCCCCCTCCCCCCTAACGCCAGCCCTTTCCCCGGGGCAGACCCCGGCTTCCCCGCTGGCGGAGAGGAGGGGGGCAAAAACCTGAACCCCCCACCCAGCACCTTCCCCCCAGAGCAGCACTCGGGCTCCCCGGCTGCCGTTAACGGGGCGCAGCCCAGCTTTGCCCCCACCAGCACCGGCCGCGGGGGAGGCACTCCTGAAGCCAACAGCCTCCCACCCCCCAGCAAGGCAGCTGCCGGCTCGGGGCACCAACCCCCCCCTGGCCTGGTGTACCCATGTGGGGCTTGCCGTAACGAGGTGAACGACGACCAGGATGCCATCCTGTGCGAGGCCTCCTGCCAGAAATGGTTCCACCGGGAGTGCACGGGGATGACGGAGAACGCCTACGGGCTGCTCACCACCGAGGCCTCCGCCGTCTGGGCCTGTGACTTCTGCCTGAAGACCAAGGAGATCCAATCTGTGTACGTCCGCGAGGGCATGGGACAGCTGGTGGCTGCCAACGACGGCTGATGCCCCACCGACCCCCACGTTGTACAGAACCCCGCGCTGTTTTAGGACCAAACCCCCTTTTGTAGCCGTTGGACCCGCGAGCGCAGGATGGCACCTGGTGATGCTCCCCACCGCTGTGGACTCTGGCTGTGCAGCACCGGGCTGGGGCTGTGGGGGTCTCCACGGTGGCCCAGCCTCCCCCGTGCCCCCAGGGTGGGCTCTGTGCGACGCCCAGGCCCGCTGTTCCCCCCTTCCCCCCCTTTCAGATCCGGTCTCCGCCTCCCTGAGCTCGCTGCGGTTTCGCTCCCCCCCCATCCCCCCCCGC